AGCACATCTCGCTTTTCAGAACGATGAGCTTTGTAAAAAGCGTTTCAGAAAGGCGAGGCATAGAGGAGAAACAATAATGTACAGTATGTGGAAAACAATGTGTTTTTTGAACCTTAAACCACATAAACACATTTCATTACACCAAATACATAAAATAATGTTCTTTTTAGCAACATCATATGACCCCTTTAATCAAAATTGATAAAAAATATAGGAGTCTCTACACCGACTAGAAAAGGTGACTATAAACATGGCTCCAAAAATTACAAAATTAGCTTAGAGACCCAAAATGACAATCCTATGTTTTACTAACCGTACAAAGTATTCTAATTTTAATTTGGCAGAAGCTTTTATCAAAAATCACATACATTACATTGAAGGCATACATTTCATCAGTCCCTAGTGAAAAATAAATTGACTAAAATATATTTGAAATACATTTATTTCATGCTAAGTACACTACAAATACATTAACATATTTATGCACTTAATAAAAATACCCTGCAATTGTACTTTTATTATACTAAACTGGTATACTTAAAGTCTGCTAAATTGGAACAACTAATTTTGTACTTAATGCGCTTTAATTGTGCAGAAGTAGTGCTGAAGTCCAACTAAAGATATACTGAAGTGCATTTGATTGTGCTAATGTGGAACTACTGCAAGTATACTTCAGGGACACTTACCGATATTATACCGAATACCGATATTATTCAAAGATCATACAATCCTCATCAATAGTGACATTTAAAACACATTTTAGGCTTAATATTAAAAAAGTGTGCATTGTGCACAAGTAGCACACCCAATAAAGTTTAATTATAATTTTTATATCAGTAAGTCTCAAACGATATGTCAGTAAATATGTTAATAGATTTTAACTATACTTTAACTATACTATATTTAAGGGTGGATAATTTTATCCGTTTTTTTATTGCAACAATACATAACTACAATAACTTTGTCTAGTGCTCTTTTGAAAGTTTATAGCATGATTTGTGAAAATTTAACTATACTGAATGACATGGCATAGACTTCTTCATGGCTAGTTTTTGCGTATTTCATTTCATTCTGTAGCCTACTTGTTCTACAGAACTGTGTGTACTGGTGTTAAATGCTACTGTTTTTGACAGCGTTGATAACGTTTATGACAGATAATATCATGATAATTTTTGCGTTTCCCTTACCGAATGTC